TTTATGTGGATGAGTGTGTGTTGGCGCTGATTGTGTCCTCTTCACATCCGTTTCTCCACTCCTCCAGCACCCGACTGCCAACACTCACTTCAGTCCCTAATATGAAGACATGTTGTGATGGATCCGTGTCAATATCGGGATTCTGATAACACCTGGTTTGGCCTATACATCCTTTAACATTCCAAGTTATTTAAGCCTCTAAATGTGTGTGTTGTGTACCGTTATAACCGATCTTCAAGCAGTTTCATGGGATTTATGTAACATGTTGGCCCCCCCTTTTTTGTAGGGAAAGTGTTGGATATTTATAATGGCATAAATGCTAAGTGGGATCTCCACATCTCAGCTCCGGAAGGGTCTAGAGCCTCCATTTTTGCACTCAGGTCTAAGTCTCATGGCCCTCTATCAGAATCCAGAGTTTCGAGAAGATTAGAGAAACTCAAAAATTCGACCCAAAAAAAAAAACAACAGTGGTACCCCTTTCGTTTTTTTTTTTTTCGGGCGAAAAATGAAGTTTCTCCAATTTTTCCAAAACTCTGAATTCTGATAGAGGGCCATGATACTTAAACCTGAGTGCAAAAATGGAGGCTCTAGACCCTTCCAGAGCTGAGATATTGAGATCCCACGTAGCATTAATGCCATTATAAATATCTCAATATCTCAGCTCTGGAAGGGTCTAGAGCCTCCATTTTGGCACTCAGGACTAAGTCTTTATATTTCCTGCTTTATATTTTGGGGTGAAGTGTGACCAGGATCTGGTTTTGTTGAGATTCACACACTGACTGCGGTGTGTGTGTGCGTGTGCACCTTCTGTCTGGTCTAGAACACAGTAGTGCAGTGCCAGATCAGTGCTGTAAGCCCAGCAGTGTTTATGTGGATGAGTGTGTGTTGGCGCTGATTGTGTCTTCACATCCATTCCTCCACTCCTCCAGCACCCGACTGCCAACACTCACTTCAGTCCCTAATATGAAGACATGTTGTGATGGATCCGTGACAATATCGGGATTCTGATAACACCTGGTTTGGCTATACATCCTTTAACATTCCAAGTTATTTAAGCCTCTAAATGTGTGTGTTGTCTACCGTTATAACCGATCTTCAGGCATTTTCATGGGATTTATGTAACACGTTGGACCCCCCTTTTTTGTAGGGAAAGTGTTGGATATTTATAATGGCATAAATGCTAAGTGGGATCTCCATATCTCAGCTCCGGAAGGGTCTAGAGCCTCCATTTTGGCACTCAGGTCTAAGTCTCAGTGCCCTCTATCAGAATCCAGAGTTTCGAGAAGATTAGAGAAACTCAAAAATTCGACCCCAAAAAAAAAACGACAGTGGTACCCCTTTCGGGTTTTTTTCTGGATAAAAATTAAGTTTCTCCAATCTTCTCAAAACTCTGGATTCTGATAGAGGGCCATGAGACTTTAAGTGCAAAAATGGAGGCTCTAGACCCTTCTAGAGCTGAGATATCGAAACTCAAAAATTCGACCTGAAAAAAAAAAAAACGACAGTGGTACCCCTTTCGTTTTTTTTTTTTTTTTTCGGGCGAAAAATTAAGTTTCTCCAATCTTTTCAAAACTCTGGATTCTGATCAAGGGCCATGAGACTTAAACCTAACTGCAAAAATGGAGGCTCTAGACCCTTCCAGAGCCGAGATATTGAGATCCCACATGTTTTTTATGCCATTATAAATATCTCAATATCTCAGCTCTGGAAGGGTCTAGAGCCTCCATTTTCGCACTCAGGTCTAAGTCTCATGACCCTCTATCAGAATCCAGAGTTTCAAGAAGATCAGAGAAAGTCAAAATTTCGATCAAAAAAAAAAAAAAACGACAGTGGTACCCCTTTCGTTTTTTTTTCGGGGCGAGAAATTAAGTTTCTCCAATCTTCTCAAAACTCTGGATTCTGATAGAGGACCATGAGACTTAGACTTGAGTGCAAAAATTGAGGCTCTAGACCCTTCCAGAGCCGAGATATTGAGATCCCACGTAGCATTTATGCCATTATAAATATCTCAATTTCTCAGCTCTGGAAGGGTCTAGAGCCTCCATTTTTGCACTCAGGTCTAAGCCTTTATATTTCCTGTCAGTAAATGATGACGGGAATACTTTACTGTGCAGAAAGCAGCTGTATCATACGGTTCACACTTAATGGCCAGTATATATTTAAAATATGTAGTCTCTTCTCACATTGACAGATTATTATAATATGAATAGTACTGCTTAAAATTAGGGGGTGTAATTTTCAGGCTTTGCCTCATGTTGAGTGTAATCTGGGGTAAACCATCCTCTTAATGTTTTCTCAAACTTTTTAAGCATTACAAGGCTGAGTCATATAAGGAGATATGCATAATTACCATCTTCTCCTACAATCCCCAAGGCCATGTTATTAGAAACAAAATAACAACCTAAGTCCACTCCTCAACCTTTTCACTAAATGAAGGACTGAGGCTGTTTTAATGAGACGCCATTATGTGCCGTTTGTGCGGTGAGTGGCATTTGCACTAACTGGCTGTCTGAACCTGGGGGTGAAACTTTATTCCATTCCCTCAGAGGACATTATAATTCCCTTACTTGATAATAGAATTGGAGATACAGGTAGGTTTTGTGTAATGATCGAAAAAACAACAACAGAGGGTCAGTCCAGGTCAGCCAAGCGTAACATATTTGTCTTATTGACATTCACCAACCTTTTTTTTTTACTCTTCAAATTGAGATAATGTAAAATAAACGCTGATCGTTTTAGACAGATCATAGCAGAATTTAGGATTCCTGAAGTGGCTCAAACTCTGTATTTTCTCATTGCTTGAGAAAATACATTTCTCATGTTGGAAATTAATTTAAGGAAAAATGATTGTGGTATTATAACACTACTATGCTGCTATTTCAGCTGCTGTCCTCAGAAAAAAATAGATGGACATAGGTTTGAGATTGAGTTTGTATAAATGGGACGCAGAACGCTTGTGGCCATATGCTATATGAGTAATATATATATATATATATTAGGGATGGGCATTTTTCAAAAATATTGCATTCGAATATTCTGGCTCATGAAAATGGAATATTTGTTTATTCGTTTAAATTATGTTTAACGAAAAAGACGTTATTTATAAGTTGTTGTTTTTTTTACGTTTTTGTCACCATTTCTGGACAAGCTTACAATTAGGCAATACACAACAAGCTTACAATATATATTAAAATTTTCTTTTAGTTGAAAACAATAAACAGTAGGCCTATGTGTAAACAAAAAAAATATATAAAAGCATTATTAAAAGCATGCTCAAACAGCGCAAGCGAAAAAAAAAGCCTAATAAAGCAAATTGCGCCAGATATCGTACAGAACGTACACACACGAGTCAGCAAATGATTGATTATCGTGTTTATATTGTTTCACGTTTATGTTGAGAAAAACAATAATAGAAACACAATGAGAACGGTGTTTCTAACAGCACTTTGCATTTTCTGTTCTTAAACCAGTCTCCCTCAACGAAACTTAAAAGGAAGTATGTCTCAAAATCATTTTGCTATTAGATAAGTTAACATCTTGGCTCACGCGGGGTCCAGATGCTTACCTGCCGTCATAATGCAGTGATGGACAGCTGTCTTTCCTCACTTGACTGTTTGGATTTCATGTGATTTCTCATGGTGATGATATTATAAGATTAATTAAATCAGATTAATTAATTTGATCAAAAGTAATTCCGTCTAGTAAGATCCTTTTCAAGTAATTCCAAACTTCGCGAGGCAGACGAGAACATTATGTGATCAAATACAAGCAACTTGTTAACACACTCCACAGCGCCATCCAGTGCATTTAATTATAACTGCGAGTTAGTGCTTAGGATTTATCATGGACTCACTGCATTTACGGCCAGCAAAGCAACGTATCAAAAATTCGAATAGTATTTTACTTTTCGAATAATAATTACATATCGAATATTCAAAAATTCGAATATTCGTGCACACCACTAATATATATATTAGGGATGAATTAACGATCGACTATCGTTTAATCATTAAAGGTGCATTGCGCAACATTTCATGTTAAAAATAGACGTTTTCTAACCCATACATGCTTAAACAATCGCCTGATGAGCTGAATGAGTCCTTCTTTGATCACTGCGATCGCCTCTATAATCCTGTACAGTGAAATATATAAGAGGGATTAGGGCTTGAATCTGAGACTGGGCATGACGTCATGCACGTTCACGCTCGCCTGGCTATGTCTGGCAGGTTCGTGTAGCTATTCGCCGCCGTTCTCCGTATCAGAGAAGACTCGAGCGACACAACTCTAGTCAGCTTTCCACAAAATTAGACGATGGATTCAAAGGGGATGTTTACACCTGGTCACTTCATGCGTTTTCTGTGATCGGATAGCTATTCGATCGTGAAAAGACCAGGGTGTAAATGCCCTCCAAAACGCATTCGAGATGGATTTGAATCCGATCACTCAAACCACTTGAGGACGTGGTCTGGGCCGCATTCCAGATGAAACTGGACAAGTGTAAATGCATCTGGTTGTTGAAACCAAGCTATATGTCATGTTATTTTAGTCATTTATGACGACGCGCATCACCTCAGAATCAGATGAGCAGCTGAGCTGAGCCCCTTCATCAAGCCAGCGCGCCGCAATCTATCGCAAATCAAAGTGAAAGTAAGTCACAGACGCTTAACACTACCATCTTCATTAAAAGTAAAGAAATGAAATGATCTTACCAGGCCTGTTGCCGATCTCTCTTATTGCGGTCTTTGCTGATTTTCAAATTAGCCGATGATTAATAAAATCCAGCTCATATCTGTTGCTTTCGGTGACGTGCACTTCTTTAAATCTGTATATGGCGCGGAAAGAGACCGGCTTGTAGTTCATTACAAACCCCAACGCAAACTCCACGTGAGACAAAGAAAATAAAACTCCTGTCTGTCCGGCGCCAGGCGTCGGAATAAGTCAACATCAGGAAGGCTTTCAACAAACGGAGAGATCTCCGGTCTGCTCTAGGGCTCAAACGGGTCCTATACAAAGTGATAACTGAACGTGTTTCCATAATAATTCAATCATATTTGAATTATAATGCATTGGTTTTATATGAATTTCTGTATGTTAATATTACTTTAACCTCTTGTTAATTGATACAGGTAACAGAATCATTACCGAGGGTGAATATGTGGAAATGACTGGAATCACCAAAGACATGTCCGGCTCGTACGACTGCATCACCTCAAACGACATCTCACCTCCAGACGTGAGGACTGTTCAGGTTACTGTAAACTGTGAGCATCTCTTTTTACCCCAAATTCCTGTTAATGCCATCCATTTATCAAGTTTTTTTTTTTTTAATGAATTCCCCAATTACACTTCAATTCATTTCACAGACCCACCTGTCATTTCACGAGCTCAGAGCACAGGAACGGCTGTCGGCCAGAAAGGAGTTATGTGGTGCGAGGCGTCTGCGGTTCCTCTGGCGGATTTTCATTGGTATAAGGGGGAGCGCAGGTAAGGCTAGTAATTTATTATTAAAAACATTTTTTGACAATGAAAGTCAAGCAGGAAATATTTAGGTAGAGAGAGGAGAAAATGGGATTGGGACCCACATGTCCCAACTAAGGCTCAACAAATTGCAGAGTTTAGCTCCAACGCCAATAAACACACCTAAATCCAGCTAGTCAAGATCTTACTAAGCATTATTGTTGTCAAAAATACAAATATTTCAATATGTATCAACACTGAAATATCTGAAACGGTTCCAATACTCCTTTTCGGCAGTTACGAAACACACGTTACAGAAGTGACACACACCCGCCTCCTGTCACTTACTCGTCTCATTTGCTCCGGTTGAATAGTGATCGTATTACGCATAATTTTAGTCATTCCCACAGGTTTCGTGCTCAAACCAAAAATGTGCGCACCACATTTAAGTGGTGTCCTCATAAAACTCCATTCTCAAACAGCTTGAGAGTACAAAAAAATGTCCCAACAAACCATTCGGTTTAAAAATGCGTACTAAAAACTGAAAACCTCGTACCGAGCGGTTCAATACGAATATGTTTATCGCTACACCCCTTATTCTATTGCATTTGCAATTTGTCTAGTTCTTATTTTATTCGACTGTTTACTTTATTTTTGTAAGTATAGTTCAACAATTCAAATAAAAACTCCATGTGATGTGTGTAAGCTATTGCAACCAATTGTACCGAATGATCAAAACATTATGAGATAATGACAAACTATCTGTTTGAGGGTATAAATGTATTTACAGTTTTCTCCGTGGTATTGAAAATTGTATCGAATATCGATATTTTTTAAAGGTATGGTATTGAAGTTGGAAATTCCAGTATCGGGACAACACTGCTAGGTATACTAGAAACTTCCAAGCGGGTGTGTTGAGACAAGATGGAGCTAAACTCTGCAGGACAGTGGCCTTGGACAATCCTCCGCTAAGCTATTGTTCTGACAGAACAGAAAAAAAACTGTATTTGCTGTGTGTAAAGCGGTGTGTTAATTTGTGCCGTCACCCCTCCGCTTACGTAGATTGAAGAACGTCTCATCTTAACACGCTTCTAACTTGACCTCAAATTTTCCAGACTCCTCAACGGATTCAATGGGGTCAAGATCGAAAACAAGGGTAAACAGTCCATGCTAACATTCTTTAACGTCTCCGAAGAGGATTATGGGAACTACACTTGTGTGGCCATGAACACGCTGGGAATAACAAACGCCAGCATTATTTTGTACGGTAAGAGGCTCCTTCTATAAACGAAATGCCTGTTAATTTATGCATAAAACCCATGTCAAGTATAACTTGGCACAATCAACAAGTGTCACAATGTGTCAAATGTTTGCCTAATGCAATTACATCAGCTCTCATCTTGTCACCTTGAGGCATCCACTAACTCTGACTATGTTTGAGAGGTGTATTCGCAGCAATTTCTTTGAACTGCGTAATGCATGATGATACACACGTTGGATGTTTGGGAGGTTGTTAACATCTGGGGTTTCTATTCCCGCAGGCCCCGGAGCGATACACAATATGAACAACGCAGCCTTATCGCCAACCAGCTCATTCTTGCTTCTAACTCTGGTTTTCACTCTCTTGGTCCTCAGCAAGTTTTGATGCTAAAGCAGCGCATCCACTTCTCCATCCAAACACAGACTCACAGTCCCACACTCAGAGAAGGAGAGTACTTTATCGGTTCTTATCATCATCATCATCATCATCACCATTTAAATAGGTTTCCCTTATCCTTTATTTCTGAAGGGAAGTGTCAGTGTGGGTTTATGGGTCTGTAATAAGATGCTTTGGGATTTAACCGTGTTATGAAACAGTGAACTGGATTGTGAATGGAGTCAGTTTGTTAGCTGGGTAGAAATAATAATAGAATCACTATATGTGTCTCTCCAACCTTTTGTATGTGAAAAGAGAAGCAAAAATTCATGTAATTGTGAATAACTGAATGGTTTTTTGCTCAGTATTGAACAGTGTGACTTGAGATTACTGGTGTGTCCTGTTTTCCTGTAAAATAACATGATATTCTTTCTTTTTTTTTTTTAAATAATTGCTAAAAATGACAAACAGCAAAAAATTAAGAAACAAAGAGAAAAATTCTTCAGTGCACCCAGAAAGTATTTGGACACTTGAGTCACACTTAAAAATGTATGAATGTCATTAAACCAAGTGGCATTTACAAGCAAATTATCCCTTTCATACGAAACGCACTTGGTTACTTTTCTTGCATTTACATTATCCTCTTTTTACATTTCTTTAAACTTGTTTTTTTTTTGTTTTTGTTTTGTTTTAGAGGATGTATGAAGTCTCGTGTTCTCCAGTATAGTTCAGCACATAAACTGTTCTATAATAATAATAAAAAATAATAATAATATATATTTTTTTTTTTAATGTGTCATTTATTCATGTAGTGGCAAAGCTGAATTCCCAGCAGCCATTACAGTGAACATAATTATTTGTTTATTTGATCCAATGTTTGGTTATCTAATGCAATTACACGATAATTTAGGCCCAAATGTCCGAATACTTTCTGGGGAGGCTGTATGTGATTATTTGATTGACTGTACATGAACAGATGTATGCAAATACTGCACACACACACAACCTATGTGTTCAATATAATATAGCACACAATTCCTATAAACATCTATCAATTCTCATCTGCCATTAATGGTGTTCGAATCACAAAGATAACCTGCACGTGTACTTGTACTGAGCTGACATAGTTACAAGCAGTAGGATAGACTCCTTACCTGGTCGAATACGTTTTACGCTGCTCTTAGATATGTTTTTAGCGTAGACACAGACAGTATGCCCTAATGTAAGCTACACAAAATCTGTTCCTCATATAAAGACCGTTTAGGTTGATCATAAACGTACCAAATGGGACAGAGAAACATTTCCTCTATAAAGTCCAAAGGGTGATTTAGTTAGTCAGTCTCGATATCCTCCAATCAATAATATCAGTCATTGTATATTTTATTGTAAATCCCTTTCCAGATACATTTGCATTATTTAAAACGGATTGAATTTGCTTTGGATGACTCTATTGGAGTGTTTCAACTTCTTTCTCAGGTTTTTGGTGCTGAGTTTCTTTTAAGTGTGTATGATTTTGTATTCTTGAGTCTTGAAGTAAATTTGACAGAAGCCAAAACTGTTATCGCAAATGATATAATTTAAAAGACGATATTTAATAACTTCTAGGGACAAAAAAAAAAAAGAATAAATCAATTCTAGCAAGAGACACATTTCGTTGCCTATATCTGTGGGTGATAACCATCAATTTATCCGTGATCTTTTGCACTAATTTCCAAACTAATATAATGTCATATAAATGTCAAATTGTGCATGTCTGAGCAGGTGACAGAAAATGATAATCTCGGTTTCCATCTATTTCATATTCCATATCTTTCCTTTCATAAGTGAAGTCTGCAGAGTTAGCAGACGCACGTCCGAGCCGTCAACACACTCGTGAATGATTTTGGAAGCTAGTAATGTACGAGAGCCTAAAAGAACCAGTAAGGAAATACAGACAGTCACGTGCACTCAACCCGCACAGCGCTAAAATGAGACCTTGTCCGTGAGATGTCTGCATTCAGCTTCAGTGGGCACTGTCACCAGCGCTAGACAAACACACCGAAGATGAATGCTTCTGCCACATCATTGAGAAAATAAATATATGCCCATAGATTGTAAATGCCCTTTCAGTTCATTACAAAAGTGAGATTCCTGCACTCTAATTAGAAGGATGCTGCTCCGTGACCGACTGAATGGTGTTTTTGTGACTGACGTTAGCATGCCGGACTCTTGCAAAAGCCAAGGTTTGCGTGCAATATCACTCTCATGGATCAGGTCGTGTGAACGCCGAGTTGAAGTATTAATTGGACCTCATTGTGATCATGACATTCATGAGCTCTTAAGTTAAGTACGACACTGTTCTTAACCATGCAGTGTGTTAAAAATGCTGTATGTGAACAACAACAAAAAAATACATACATATATATAGATATGCAAATGAATATTTATCCTGGATTTATTTGATTGTTAAATATAAGGACGGTGTAATTGCGGAGATCAACACACCTTTTCCTTGTTAGCGTTGTGCCTTGCGTGCATTCAAAAAATATCATGTGGTAGTGCAATCGAATAGACTCCGTATCGGCCCTGGAAACTTCCGCTTGGGATGCATTTTTGTAAACAGCCGGCTTGGTTTTACTCATTTATTTGAGTTGTTTCAATGTTGCGGAAAAATAAAAAATCATCTTTTGATAAATATCATTAAACATCGTTCTCTCAAATGTGTTTCGAGTGAAATTGCCCAATGATTTCTGGTGAGTTTTGTAACAGGTTAAACAAGTACATGAATAGGTTTTACTGTAGATTATTAGAGTATCACTTTGGTATGTGGGTTGACTTTTTAAAACGCTTATATCGTGACGGTGAAGACAGCGATGTCGTTTTAACTGCTGGGATAATGTCACAACCTTATCAGTGATCAGCAGTAGTGTACATACAGTAGGCTACAGTATCTGAAATGACATTGCAAACCCGTTTAAGTTACGAAGAGAATGTAATTGTTTTCCTTATTTATATATTTATATTTATTGTCATCTGAAGGGAACAAAATGGCAAACATTCAATAATAGCACTCTGGGTTTTTGCTGACCTGCTCATCGTTATTTTAAAACTGCTGCGAGTATGGTACATCTAATCATAGCAACAGTGTTTCACCCCAAATCTCCCTCCCTTGCAAAACTGTATTGTATGTTTGTATTTATTTTTCTGACTGTCTCTATCTAGTTACGATTGTAAAGTGTATGATACTTTAACATTTGCAGCACACAGCTCTCTCAATGTGCATGTACAGCCGTAGTTGTATTTTTCTTTTTTTTACTATTGGAAAATGAGTACAAGACTGTTGTATGTGTTCTGTGTAATAAAGTTAAGAATATTTTCTTCTAGTTTGGAGTTGTTAGTTATCTAACGTACTGTCATGGTATCTTTAGGGATGCACGATATATCGGCATTGTGCATTCTCATTTCTCCTACATTTTTATTAGGTTACCCTTTATTTTTTAAGGTGTCCTTGTTAAAGCGTAATTATACATTTTAGTGCTGAGTAATAATATAACAACAAACATACTTAATATAGTGTTAGGGTCAGGAATAGGGCTTGGGTTAATTGCATGTAATTATGCATAGGTTACTGTTATTACTACAGCAAGTAAATGTAACATATGTAACAAGGACACTAAAATAAAGTGTTGTTATCTGATTACCTTTGTCATCTTAGTTCATATTTAGCAAATTAAATCTATTTTTCACATTGCTCTGCCTAAATTCACTTGCAGCATGTAAAATTATTGAGTTTAGGTTGTTTAATATATTTATAAAATAGTATTGCATTTTAGCATTGGCATTTTTATTGCTTTATCAGCAATAACATGACAGGTTTTACAAATAACAGAATTTGTAAGTCAAAATGTAAATATCAATCCATCCCTACTTTTAATAAAGTGCAAAATCTGGGTTCCGGAAGTAAAACCTCCATGCAGTTTATGCATGGGGTAATGATTTTTAACGATAACTTATAAACCTTTAACAAATGAATGGCTTCAGGCAAAACCAGGACATAGATAGGACTATAGATGTCGCCTTGGGGTTCTACTGTAAGCATGCGTCAAAACCGTCCCAATCTTGGAACAGGGGTCTTGTCATAGGAAGTACCTCTAGGTAACGCTGCTATCTCTACTTGTACTTCAAATTAATGGATTTTTGGACTTTTGTGCTGCATATGGATGTTCACACGAATGAAATCTGAACTGGGAAGAATGTTTTTTAATTTTTAATTCTCTGAACTCAATGATAAAAACTTGTCTGACCATTGGAACGAACCAAAAAACTAGAAAATCGCATTCATGACGATTTATGGTGATTTTATTTCCGTTAGACCTTTGCCTTCATTGACGGTTATGTATTAAAGAGGAGGGGCTCCCCTGTTCCATGATGGCGGCTCTATTGACGCATTCGTTCCAATGAGCTGCCGTAGCCTAGGCGACATCTACTGTGCAGAAATCTTAGGTCTTAGGCACACTAGGATTTTCGCCTCAAAGAAATGGTTTTAAGCCAGTTATATATATATTTTGTTGTAGTGTCTCAGTAGGAAATATCAGTTTACATTTCCAGACATTAATTGTGCCATTAATTGTAATAATCCAGTGAAATTTTTGAATTTTTTCAGCCAATGCTCCACACGGAGGTCGGATCTCACCATCATCGAGTGCATCTGAAATTATATGAAGAAACAGAAAAAACACAGACCAAGACCAGAAGAACTGCGGCAACGTCTCGAAGGTAGTGCCTGCCTGCCTGCAAAGCTACAGTACTGTGAAAAAGCACTTGAGTAAAAATGCTGTAAATGAGAATGTTTTCAAAAATAATGTCAATCATAAATAGATTTTATTTATCACTTCACTTTTATTAGTTAACTATTATTAACTTTTAACCGTTAAGTAAATCAAATCAATAGGTGTTTAGTACCCTTTGCGTTTAAAACAGCTTTTGTCCAGGTTTGCACATAGTTTTTAGTTTTGCAGGTTATTTCAAGCGTCTTTGGAAACGTTGCTAAAGTTCTTCTGGTCTTAGTCTCTGTTTTTTCTGTTTCTTCATATAATTTCAGATGCACTCGATGATGGTGAGATCCGACCTCCGTGTGGAGCATTGGCTGTTGTCAGAATCCTTGTGCATTCAAAAATTTCACTGGATTATTACAATTAATGTCTGGAAATGTAAACTGATATTTCTGAGACACTATAACAGAATATATAACTGGCTTAAAACCATTTCTTTGAGGCGAAAATACTAGTGTGCCTAAGACTTCTGCACAGTACTGTACATAAACACAGTGCATATGTTTCCTTAAAGAAAATAGTATAACAGAAACGCCCTATGTGTGAATAAAGTTTGTGTGGGGGTAACAGAACCAACAAAAATTTTATGGATAACCAAAACAAAAATGCATACCTGTAGTCAGAACACAAATGCACATTAATAGGCTAGTTGCACGTGGCCGTCATTTTGGATTT